TTAGATTTGTACAAATGCATGCAAGAAAGAATGTTAAAATTGGTGAGAAAATGCAAGTGAGTTATAGAGTGCGAACCATTTAACTGCTGTACTTGACATTGCGTAATTATGCACAACAGCTGTATACTGTATGCGTTCGGGTGTCCATTGTACTATTAAGTGTACTCTGACCTGAGTAAATGTGTGTTTTAGCTAAGTTTATATGCAGCGCTTGTCGGTGGCCCCTGGAGGAGGGAACCCTTGCCTAGCACCAATCTGTAAGGGACAGGACAGTGCTACTCAGTTGACTTGGTGGATCAGCTGATTAGTGTCATTCAACCTGACCAGATCGACTACAGTAGATAGATATGCATGCAGTATTCGCCAATGAAGAATAGCGTGTCACAAAAGTTTCAGAACATCATCCCCTGGGCCAAACATGCTGTATTAATGAAAATATGTGTTTAATAGGTAAGACGTATGTAGCTGGTAGTAATAACAGGGTTCTTGTATAGGATTCACACTACTTGTATATTGTGTGATGCAGAATTACTAGATCACACTCTGTGGTGCTCTTGTTTCTCTGTTGGCCACAGGATCCATCAGCTAAGATTGGTCAGGGCTGCAGGATCGGTCCCAGTGTCGTCATTGGACCCAACGTCATCATTGAAGATGGTACTATTTCATTCACACGAGTATTCTCTGTTGTAGTGGAATGTACAAATCACCCTGCACATAGAAACAATTCCGTGTTCAGACGACTGTGTGGACTCGCTTTGATTTCTATATAGACTATGTACATCTAGTCTAGTAAATCTATGCCTATGACCAAGTTGACTAATAGCTTGCCTTCGGATATTAATTACAAATAATCAGGTTTTGCAGGCTGGGTTAATACTACCTTGCTCATTATCAATTTACCTGCACTACGCATTTTTTCATTAATGTTGACAGGTGTTTGTCTATCATCATCCACTGTCCTGAGGGGTGCACGTATTTGCTCTCATGCCTGGGTCCAGTCCAGTATAATAGGGTGGCAATCAATTGTGGGGAAGTGGGTAAGACCCTAGCTAATTACCGTAATTTGCCTACTGTCAGAATTATGATTGTGTGCTATAATTGCAGTGGAACCTCAGAACAAGGGACACTATGAGGCCAATGGTTTTTCCCCCTTGTATATAGAGAGTTCGTCCCTATCATGGAGGTCAAATTATTCTCATTTACACACTAAAGTATTACCGTGGGTTTGAACATAAGTGTCCATTGTAGATAGCTCGTCCCTATCTCCGGAGGTCAAATAATGCACTACAGTATTATCAAGCATGGGGTTGAAAATAGTCTTTTGTACAGAGATCATTCTCGGAGGGTCCCTATAGGATGTTCCACTGTTCTGTTCTGTAGGTGAGGATGGAGAGTGTGTCAGTACTGGGTGAAGATGTCATCATTCAGGATGAACTGTATGTCAATGGAGCTCGCATCTTGCCTCACAAGAACATCACTGTCTCCAGCCCTGACCCTCAAATTATCATGTAGATTATATTTTTTCAAGATATAGGTGACCGTCCACGCGAAAACCAGGCATAAGTCGGCAAAAATATTTTTCGAGATTTCACCGGATTCCGCGTTTTCTACCCTTTGGCCGTGCTCGTTCAAAATTTGGTGCGGATGACCCGTTCCATTCTGGAGATATAGTTGCTTTTGTACCCGGGAGTCAGATCCGAGAAACGGCAATTTTTCTACATGGAGAAATCTTTCCGCATACGCGCTCCGTTACACGTCGTGCGTTGACACGCCCCCTAAAGCCGCTCGCACGGTTGTGGAACGAGGCTATCTCTCGTGGAAACGAAGAAGACAGGCTCAACGAAGGTAGCAGAAAAGCTTTTAGCATCGTTGGTAACCCTAGCTCCTCGTAGAGCTGTTTTTTTGACGGCCCGTAAATTTCTCGGCGTAATTTCCGTGTATTGCGCCCGTTTACGGGGCGCGTGGAGTTCGACGTAGCCTACTTCGAGGCGCCGCCACGGCCCTGGCGAACGAGTTTCGACGCTCTAAGTATATAGCTGTCTTCTAGATAGATGTAGGTCCTTCTCCGTTAAAAAAAGTCTGAATCGCGCGGTACCCGCTGTTTCGACTTGTAAGGCTGTTTACTAAAAATCAATTTCGCCGACTTATGCCTGGTTTTCGCGTGTACGGTCACAAGTACAAATTCAATGATTGTTGTGCTATGCATCACTGAATAACATGGCTGGCTGGCCACACATACAGCTGGGTCCCTTTTGATCCTGCAGTCAATGTTAACTCAGAGGA